GGACACTCTGGGCTTCTCACACACACCACCACCTCCTTCTGCAGCCAGCTCTCAGACACCAGGAGCGAACCAAAATCTCAGCTCACATTAAGAACGGCACCATGTCTGTGGCTTCTCTAATTCAGTTTGCAATAACGCGGTCTCACAACCAAACACTCAACACGTGGCAATGCTGAGTCATGACACTGCACTCCCACAGGCATTTAAGAACAACGAGAGCTTAACCTAATTTTGTCCCTTTGTTTGTCCTCTATACAGGAGAGCTCAAACAGTTCCTCACCCTGTCTTTACATCCCCACACATCCAGCACTTAATACATTACACAGCAACACTGTAAACACAAATAAAACACACCCTTTCCCTCCTTCTGATGCCCTAAAGTCCTTCCGGGCTCTCCATCTCCCATGCAGCCTGCATCCTCACTCATGTTTCTTTGTTGCCAATTTGTGGCTAAAACATCTTCCATCATTTTCCAAATGTATGCAAGCATTGTCCTGTTTCCCTCGCAGAGCCGCTTGCAACAAAACCCCCTTCCCTCACACAGTGAGGATTCAAATTTGCTAACAACCCAGTGTAATTTTCCATTTCTATTTCTCTGTGCTTTTCTTTTCTCTCTGGACACTTGCAGGGGCCAAGCACCATAGCATCAGTCTGACACTGCCATCTGGAAGAGCAGCAGAAGCTGCCTGCAGTCTCAGCCCTGGCTGGGAAAGCCTGGGAGGCTACAGCATGCTCTGGTTCAAGCCCTTCCCACCTGCGCTATCTGGAGGATCTTCCTTCTTACCCTCTGATCACTGCCAAAGCCCTCAGATCCTGGCTGGTGGGACTCCCTACTGCTATCCGTTACTCTTCTGCGGCAAAACCAAGCAAATCAATAGCACAGATTTTTTAAAAATAATAAAAAAAATAGCATGTGAAGTGGCAGTTGGTTTTAGTGACGTAAATATATATGAGTGAGTAGAACGCGAGCAACAAAGTACTCCTTTCTGGTGGGCTGAGAAACAACACGAGCCTGAATCTCCAGGGTAAAACACGAGTGAAGTAAACGACAACACGAACACCCACTTGGCATTCGTGCTACATCCTCCTGATTCGAGCCTCACCAGCTTTAAGAACGCTTCTTTTAAATACTGTAATACTCCCAATTCTGAATGATCTAGATTGTTTATTTCCAAAACAGATCCCCTCTGGGAGCTCCCATAAGCTTAAGACAAAAGTAGTTTTAAATCTTTTGGTTACACTGTATCCAGAGCTGGCTCGATTCCCCTAATTGCTTCATACTGACCTTGAGGATATTTCGGCCATTAAAAGACTCTCGTTCCTTGAAAGATGATTTACCAGTCGCTGTACTGTTTTGCTCTACAGCTGTAAAGAGAAAAGCCACCACCACAATGAGCTTCAGATGGGAGAGCCATGCGTACTGTACTTCACCCCCTCAACCCCCCAAAGTCTGCTGCCAGCTAATAAACCATCTTTGCCCAATTCTTCATGCAAAAACATTTCCACTTTGATTTGAAAGAGAATACAGCCGAATATGCAGGAAGTGGTGCCTCTGTCAGGGTCATCTAAGTTACCTGGAGGAAACACCCTAAATCACAGCTACTGCTAAGGTGATTCTTTAGGGCTGCTGGCTCAGTGCAACACATCTGCTTCTCTTTGGCTGATTCTAAATTCCACATCCTGCCAGGGTAAGAGTCAGCAGCGACAAGCGCTCGCATTGCCTGGAACAGCACCAAATACCAGGCTGAGCATGTGAGCGTAATGCTGAACACGTTCTGAACAGCACCTATACAAATCCTCACTGCCTACTCTGGGAAGCATCCTTGCACACCGCATACATGCAGCGGGTGTATTTCTGCAGGGTGGGCACACAGCTACACACGAAGACACTAAGAATAGTAATCTATGCCTATAGCAACTGCCAAATGCCTACATCCTAGATCAATTTCCCCAGGGTATGGCTGGATTTCAATATAAACCCTAAGTACATGATCTGTTCCTTCCACAGGCCCCCTGCCTCACACAGGGAATAAATTCAATATTTCTTTTTCATCTCCAGCATTAACTATGAAGTCCCACTCACATCTAACACACTATTCAAATCCGGTATGGAATATAAAGCAACCTCTGTGGCTATCTGTATAATGCTCTCACCATTGTGTCTGGATGCCTCACAGGTATTATGTGCCTGTACTCTGAACAACCCTTCTAGACTAGATGCTACTGCCCACATGCCAACAGAGAGCAATATCAGTACTTTGGGCTGGACTTCCACTTGCACTGATTTTCAGGGCTCCATTTGAGAGACCTAAACCCTGTCTTTTCAGAATTTCTGCCGCTTATCTGGCTTCAGTAGTAGTCATCCCCAGCATCCGCCCCTGGCTGCCCAGAAAACCACAACACAATCTGCTGCTACCACTGTCCACGCAGAGACTCATGGAAACTGTAACTGGAGAACACTTGGACTGACCTATCAGCATTGCACATAACCTCCTATGCCAGAGGAAGCTATGAAAAGCTTTAGTGCAATGCTGTTAAGGCTTGCAAACCACGCACCAGTGCCAGAGCATATGCATGTTTGCACACGGAGCACAAGGCTGTCATATGCAGCCCCTCCCTAAACGCAACGCATGTGAGGCTGCTTTATAAGTAACGTGGCAAGAACGATGCCACAGGCTGCTAGAGCAGACAATCTTTTGGCAGAGACGGCAGATACTATATACTCAACAGCAGCTCATATTCAGCCTCACGGCAGTCTGAATCTGATTTAACGAGAAGGCGTACTTTGAGAAAGACACTGGACTCATGTTCCTAAAGCGACAGGCAATCTTGAACTTGACCAAGGAGGATCACATTTCGTTCTTGCTTAAAGGTCAGCACAGCACATGAAGGTGCTACTGAATTTCAGTTTACTGTCGGGGCAGAGAGAGCCCAGGGCCTCACATGGTACCTGAACGCATTCCTTTCTGATCCAGATCTTGTGAGCGCTACTAGTGTTTTTGTAGCTCAGACAAAGAATCTTAGAAAGGGACCAGAACGTACTTAAAGCACGCCTGCTTTCTCCAGCTCTGCTGACTGCTTCCTCATTTTCTTTTGGGTTTTCTTTAATGACCTTCCCCTACAATCTTGTAAGTAAAATTTTTGAGACTAAGAAAAAATTGCAACATTGAACAAACAAACAAAAAATACCATACTAGTCAACAGTTACTGACCAAAGCACCTCCTGTTCAGTGGTGCTGCTTTAAATACATTTAGTAGTAAGGATCAGGGATACCCACCACTTGGATCTTTCCTGAAGAGAGTGTTCATGACAGTAGCATGGAGTTTCACCCTATCCCATTCTTTAAGCATCAGGCCGGAGGCCACAAACCGTTCCACCAGCTTATCAGCTATCACCTGCAATCTGCAAAGGCAAAAAGAGAAAGAACAGAGCAAGGCAAACCAAGGAGAAAACCCCGTGTTGTCAGCTTTTCACTTTTCAGCCAGCGAGGGTAGCATGTGTGAAATGAAGTCTCTGCATGCATATGCGAAAACTGAGTGAGCCTCTAATGGAAAGGTAACAAACTAATCAGAATTCTGCCAGGCAAATCAGTTCTAAGGCAAAAAGTTCTGGCTGTTTTTGCAAAGCTTCCTTGGTGATCACTTCTGCTGCAAATACTCCACGAAGAACGGCAAAGTTAGCATAGCACCGAGTTCATTCACAGTGAAAAGAGGTATTACTGGGACTTGAAGGGTGCATCTTTTTCCTGCCATGAAACATAATACAATTCTCCTTACAAGTGCTAAAATCTCAGACCCACAGAGGGACCTGGGTACCTTCGCTCCAGGAGGATCCTGCTTTTCAGGAACTGTCATTTATACAGTGCACCAAGAGTGCTGGGCTCAGACCTCCTCTGTCCCCAATAAGCAACCCAGTCACCGGCTTCATTTCCAGGAGAACCCAAAACATGACGACAAAGGGCACAAATCCAGATGGCACATCTTGCTCAATGCTCTAACTTCTGAGCTACTGAGCAAGCAGAATCAGAGCACTGCGGTCTGGGATGAAAGCAGCTGTGGCTGCCGTGAGCTGCAGTACCCCAGCCTTACCAAAACCGGCAAGGATGTGCTACAACAACAGCATCCCATCCACTGACATGAGACAGAAGCATATTACTCTGTGAGGTAGGATTTGGGCTCCTCTCACCACGTCCAAGCAGTCAGACAGCGCTCTTGCTCCACTAGGTGCCACCACTTTGGTTTCTCAGCTACAACGGGGAAGGCAGAGACACGGCTGGCCCGCAGAGCCCAGCGCTGCCGCGCTCCTGGACGCTGGCTCGTACAACGCCGCGGGCTTTGTGCTGCCCCTCATGGGCTTCCACCAGCCACGTGACAATTTCAAGACTTGAAAACTACCGATTGTCATGGATTTCTACCACTTGCTTTCTGGCTTTACACCAGTGATTTTTAAAATTAGCAATGACAAAGATTAAATGAATATCATTACAGACAATACTAAAACAAATTAACAGAGAATAGCTCAAGTGAAAATGGTGCTTTATTACGTTAAAAAGTTAATCAAGGAAATAAAACAAATTAAAATGAATTATAATGGAAATTATTTGCAATGTGGCAGCCATCAGAGCATGATCTCTCTCTCAGTCTGAGCCATTTTATGTGCAGAAGGGCTTGCTAACCCCTAATACTGTCTGCAGTTATGCAAGCTAAGTCAGGGTAAATCAAATCTCCTGCTTTATAGCTTAAGCTGATCAAGATCATCGGAAGATCAGGAAGGAACTCCACCCTTCAGCCATGCCGGGAACCACTCAGAATAGCTAGCCAGACATCTTGCATGAGACAGGAAGGCACCCACCTCTCAAACATTGGCGGCAACCATTTGATCTAGCACAGCAAACCACATGGTCCCCACTCTCTTCTAGTTTTGGCCTTGCAGCTGAGAAACCATGATTTCTACCTGCTTTGCCCATTTCCCCGAGTAAAGTGCAGCTCTACTGAAACACAGCACCCAGGTTTCAGCAGGCAAGAGGTGCATGGAGCTGTTTAGCGGTAATCTGTCTAGCAGACTGGAAAGCAGAGCAGAGTTTTATGGAAGAATCTCCATTCATCCCTTCTTTAGGATCACAATTTGGCCAATATATAGTTTCCTGGAGTCTCAGCAGAGGCAAAAGAAACTTTCAGTGCTCTAAATCAACATAAAAATATCTTCTTTCCCTCTGCAAAACTAAACGTTTGCTGAACTCTCACTACCAGCTAAGGGACTATATTAGGACAGAAGCGCCAGTTCATCCTGCTGTGAGAGATGAATCAATTTGCAGGTAAAGGCAGGACCAGCCTGGGCTGAAGATAAAAAGTTACAATCACGTGACCCTCTCTGAGCACACTGCTATGCAAAAAGCAAAAGATGTGTTGCAAAACAGAAGTCTGCGGGTGCCAGGCAAAGCACGAGATCTGGGTTTGGCCAAGACCTCAGCTAGCAGACCTCCGTGAAGGACAGAGGAGACATTACCTGTGTAACTAGCATCTCGAGGGCGGAGGTCATGTTCAATTGCAAGACAAGGTAGATTTGAAGATCCCATTTCTCTCCCCAGCCAAAAGCAGCTCTGCCACCCCACACACGCACATCGGCATTTTCTGCCGGCGTTAACGCTAAACAGGTTCTCAGCAAAACAGGTAACGTTGGCATCTGGATCAGACTGCAATGTTAGTATGTAACAACTCAAGCTGTCCACGGACTCAGGCAGACATCACTGCATCACTTCAGTCCCTGCTTACACTCTACAGGGTTTCTCTATCAGCTCCTCAGGTCACAGGCTTATTTTCAAAAGTACAAGCAGACTCGCAAGCACTGCACTTCGGAGACGACCCAGAACTAGGTGATTAAGGCAAAAAGAGGTCCATAGCTCAGCTCTGAGAGCTGACGCTTTGGTCACTTTCTACAAGAAACCTAGAGAAAAGCATTTGGGTCATACAACGTTTGCCTCTGTCTCATCTTTCTGAGTGCTTCTTCCCTATTTCTCCCTGCGCTTCTCTTCTGTCTCCCGGCTGGTGGCTAGCTTGTCATGGTCTTCCACCCTCCCCATCTGTTTTATCTCATCTCTTTCAGGGCAGAACAGACTTCAAAGCCGAAGAGCTGAGAAGGGGAAAGGAAGATTTCAATTCGTGCTGCCTCCCAGCAATTCTTACATTTTCATTTTCCCACCCATTTTCTTATCCCACTTCCGATCTTGCACTTCAAGATAGCCTCCAAAGTGTGGTTTCCTCTAGGGTTTTAGACAAGCCCTCCCCTCCTCCCATCTTCTCAGCCCTTGGGCAAAGGAGATGCTAGAACACATCCTTTCCTCCCTGAGCAGGTCCCTGCCCACAGTCTCCCTCCTCCAGCTGCACTGCTCTGGGCTCCCCTCCTTGCTCCCCACTGTCCTCTAGTAAAGGGACCAGACAATGAAAGGACAGCACCATAGGAAAAAAAAAAAAAAAAAAAAACAAGGCTAAAACTCTTTTTGTTCCATCCCTCTGCCCCCTTTTCCCACCTACTTCACAAACAACAGCAAAGGAGCACAACAGTTCCTACATTTCCCATAATCTTTCAGAAAGCACAGAGAGAAAAGAAAATGCTGCCACTGATGATGTTTTTGTCAAAAATGAGATGGAAGAAGGTTGCCCAGACCCCAGCACATCCTAGCCAGCTCTGGACAGACCCGTTTGTAGAGCCTTCTGCTAAAACCATCGGTGACAGTCGTGAACAGCACAAACACACATACCGACACCAACCGGGCTTCAAGATTTAACACCAGCAACTCTGAAGACAGACATTTCACACCCTGTGAGTGTTGCAGGCTGCTTGCAGACACAAAAAAACAACGCTGTAACCAAGTCACGCTTTTCAGAGGACCTGCTGGTGCAACTGGGTTTTAAGAATAATTAAATGCTGCAGAATATGTCAGGCTGTCCAGATTAATCTGATTTGCAGATTGGGAACTAGGCAGCAGAGGCCAAGTTGTCCCGCATTCTAAGCCATCTCAGGAGTATCTCCTTGGCCATCTTATCACTGCGCGAGCCATGACGCCATTATTCAATCCGACAGACTGCTACAGAAACAAATGACATGTTTCAGCAGCACCACCAGCGACCGATTTAAAGGGCAAACACATCACAGTCTTAACTGGGTTAGGAAGCAAGAATGACTTAATCTTCCCGGTTACTGGCCCAGTAACTGCTAGCACCCACCAGGCTGGGTTTCTCTGGTGCACCGTTACTGCTGCCTCGGCACTCTCTGCACACTGAGGGGAAACGAAAGAATGGAGCGTGGGGAACTTACCTATCCGAGCCGTCCTTCATGTGGACTTTAGCATAAAGGACATCTGTCATAGCAGGGTCATCGTTCATGTATTCCACCCCTGCCACCTCCACAGTCAGGGGTTTGCCTCCAGCAATTTGGCTGCAATGCAAGAAATCCCTTATGGTAAAACACAAAACAACACACCTGCTTTTGAAATACAATGCATAGTGCTCTTCATGTACAAGCTAAATATTTGGCTTCACTAATAATGAAATAAATACATTTTTTGCTATAGCTAAATACAGCTTTGAGGTTAAGCGAAACTTAACTCTTACAAAGATGTTATGAAGCTGTGAACTCCACAGAGGAGTTCTTTCCCATATATTTAATGCTGTTTGCACTGAAAAATCCCCCCTGCCCAAAAGCCTCCCTAACTTCTAAAGCTTCAAAACGGCCATTGTCTCATTTTCTCAAGAAATACTGCGCAAACTTTTAAATCCACACGTTTATTGTTCTGGACATCCGTTAAGTCCACTTTGTCAGTATTCGCAGGCCATCTCAAGGCAGAGAGGTCTATTTAGTTTTTATACAACCCATGAGCAATAATATGGTATAATTTCTCATTCCAGGGAAGCTCCTGTCTTCCCTGTGAAGAGACGGATTGCGACACTAAGTCTCCAGTTCATTCATTTCACTGGGAAGAGCACTCAATCCTGAATGCAGGTTTAAGCATATTTCAACACGCACTTAAACACGCTGTAGGTAAAAAGAACTGTTTCATAATTGTCTCCAGCTTGCCTTCTTGCAGGAAGGCAAAACCTAAAATGTGTGCATGATACAATATGCACTCCCACACCTGCAAGCACACTGTGAAGTGTATCTGCTTCCAAACAACCGCCTCCTTGCCTTTACCACCAGAACATCACAGGGAGGCAGAGCGCTGCAGCGAGAGCTCCCTGTGAGTAAGTGTTGTTGTCTCATTTAACTCCGAGGTCTCATGGAAAGTACAGGGAGTGTCTGGGCAGGCAGAAGTAATAAACACAAGTTAACAATATGAGCATGACTTTGTTCTAACCTTCCTCACTTTTGTTCAGCCTGCCTGAGAGACTGCCTTTGAAGTTTTTAGTAAAATTTCCAAGCTGGAATTAAGAGAGCATGGTTTCCTCTTCCAGTACCTTACTGGGAAGAAAACGGGCACTAGCGCACTGTCAAGCGCATGTGAGGTTAAGAGTGAATGAGGCGACATATTCTATAAAGGAGCAACAGAGGCATATCCACCTTCATATGGCACAGCCTGTGTTTAGCAAAGTAAAGGAACACTAATGAAGGTATATGTGGATGGTTTAATCAATTTAAAACGTGTATTTATGTGGCAACGGTAGGGGAAATAACCTGAAGGTGATATTCAAATATTGATCCCTCCTCCACCCAAGGAAACTGTGGGTAAAGATTTCCTCCGTCTCAGTTCAATCCACTTACGAGGAAGGCAGCACTTTCCAAGCACCGCACATAGACCCTGTCGCTGGAAACTCACTCACCTTTCTGTTTAACAGCTGGAAAAAATGGAGCCTTGGTTTTAGAGGAGGAGGTGAAATTTTGGCCATGCATTAATTCTCACAGATATTAGCAGGGGTAGGATGGCTAAATCCTCATGGGCCCGAGGTAAAAAGGAAGAAAGGGGTCTACATGCAAAGGCTTTGCATAAATAAACAAACCAACCAACCCCTCAGGCCGTCTCCACTTTCTAAGCTGTTCAGAGATAAGCTAATTACAGTGTCATGCAACCACATTTACAGTTAAAGCCATAACATCTGCAGTTCAGCGTTAAAAGGCAACGAGAAAGCCACAGCCCTAGAGCAGCATCAAACATTTCAGACCTATTACTCACACGGCTCATGCTGGCTTCCCTGCACACAGCTCCCTGCATCAAGAAACGCATGTCAAGGACACCTCAGCATCTGCTCTGAGGCAGGAGGGAAGCAGCATGCTGGAGCCCCTTGCAGGCAACGTGTGAAGGTAATGGTGCTCTTCCCTGCCTCTGCAGCGAGCAGGGAATAACAGCAAAAATTCTTCACACAAAAATAATTGGGATTGCTGTGAGGAAAAGGAAATGACTAGAGAAGGTTTTCCGGCAACGCTGAGGGCTTGAGCAGAACTACAAAATACAATTACATTCTCTGCTATCGCTCAGTGATTTTTGCTGCTTCTATTTGAAATGCTTCAGTCTTTTTCTAAATTCCTAGGCTGCTGAGTTGTGATACGCTACTGAGTTGCTTTCCTCTTCACTCTCCCCTGCCAAAGACAGTTTGCGTCTTCCCCGGAAGCGTGCCCTTTGTGATTACACCCCTTTGTAACACTTACTCCACAAAGTCCTCTTTGCATCTCTGCAGGAGGTCACATGCTTTCTGGATCTCTTGTTCATTCAGGAGTACCAATGTCCCAAGAGTCAGATGCAGCTTTGCAGGGTTCTGGAACAGACTGCTACTGATCCCGTGATCCTACAAATCAATCAAGAAATCATATATGGAGGCATCTCATCTCACGCACGCACATCCCTTAATCAGAGGGAGAAATATGACAGAAAAGAGGTACCCGGTCACATGCAACAAACCTTTTATCTCTACGTCACTGGCCAAGTTGAAAAAGGAGACAAAGAATTCAGAGGCTTCGTGAGCGGGCGAGTTGAGCCCAGCAGGTAAGTCACAGCCCACCGCTACACACACACACACACACACACACACACACACACACACACACACACACACACACACTTGCTGCCTGCCTTTTCAGTGGACTCGCTAAACGGCAGCGTGGAAAGTGAATCAGAGTTCTTTATGACAGGCCGCAACTCAGCATACAGGAGCAGCAGCCCTCACTTGCACGGACTTTAGAGAGGAGACTTCTACAGTAGTCAGCGGCAGCTGTGCCGCACCAGCCAGAAACTCAACACAAGTCAGCACAGACTTAAAACTTGAGTTAAGTACATTTTTTGCACAATGAAGCTGGAGCCAGCTGTAGTGACAAGCTCAAAACGGTCTCTAAATCCTGTCTAAACAGAGGTTGTACCTTCACAACACAAGCACAGCTAATACCAACCCTGATAATTACATTTTGCTTGTTCCCATGTGCTCTATAGTTTGCTGAGATGAATCAAGTTTAAATTCCCTTTACAACAAGGGCTACGTGTTGTTGCTGGGGAAGAACTGTTCCCAGGTGGAGCAGTGGTTATACTCAGCTTTAAGAAACAAGCTCTTTTGTTCTGGGATAGTTACAAAAATACCTCGAGGATGGTTAACACACCCATATTAAAACAATTACTTCTACTTAGTGGCCATTTCCCATCAGTGTATTAAATAACCTCTACTTTTAACTCCCGAAGAAGCCAACACCACTTACCACACCACTGAAACATTTCTCTGTCTGCAAAAACTTCACTGACAGAGTGACAGCTTTGAAGTTTCCACCTGTGCTTCAGAGTTTGAAATGAAACCTTTCAGATGTTTAAATGCTGCGGCATCTCAGCCTGTCAAGAGTTTAAAGCCTCACCTCTCACTCAGCATTGTTCACGTCTAATGAAAACCTCCATACCTTTCTTTACAGCACTGCTGATGGGATGTACTAGAGACTAGCCAGCCTACAACACGGAGCCCGGGGGACTTGCTCCAGCAGCCACAGGTTAGCAAAGCTTGGTGGTCCTTGGAAGACACAGAGCGTGCACACATCTTGTGCTGCTGCTAATAACTTCACTGCTCATTGAATCCTGCAAATTGCAAATCCCAGGACCACGCAGCAGCCTTGAAACAAACACAGACTGACTGCTTTCATCATGGCAGCAGCACAGGTGAAGAAGGACATCTCCATCTCGCTTCTCCCCACTGCCCCCTCTCCATCTAGGCTCAGAAAGAACTACAGTAGAAGCCTTTTTATTTTCTCTAACTGATGCTGCCGTTAGCATGCGTGACAGGACGTGATTTCTCTCTATCAGTCTTTTTTCCTTGATGGTATCCATAGCTAGAGGATATTTGGCCCATCACAAAACAATAGCTCAGGTAACAGAAACCGGGAGAAAGCTTGATTCATTCTTGTCGTGGACAGCCAGCTGGTGTCGCTTCCACAGATGCACACAGATGATGAAGATAGCATACAGTCACGAGGAAGCAGTTCACAGGTCAGAAAACAAAAACCTTACCCTTATTTTTTGGAGCAGGGAATGGGGCAAAAAGAAAGCACAATTTGTACTGTAAATATCAACTGGCCCCCAAAGCAGCATTTTCCCCTGAGCTTTCAAACACCTGAGCGTGGGCTGATGGCTGACAAAATGATGGCACGTCACCTCCATCTGCCACGTTACCTCTGCTGGGAAGATTAGCAGGGAAGAGCAGTGCATAGTGAACAGGCCAAGACCTAGATAATCTTCTTGCTTTACTCCCCGGTATTTCAGACAGCTCCTAAAAACCCTCCTTACGCCCCTACTCTTTTACGGGCCGATAGATCCCACACCTCCCACACACAAAATAGATGCTACGTCAGAGGTGACTCTCCCTGAAAAAGGCGACGTTTCAGCAGCCGCTTTAGCAGCATTTCATGGCTGGACGCTGCTCTCTGAGATGCACAAAAGCTTGAGCCCATTTGTTCTAATCCCAGATTACAATTTGCTATTAGCAACCGCCTTGTCGCCTCACAGGAAGCCGCACTCCCCAGTGATACCAGTCCTCTGTAAGCAGACCAGCAGGGCCAAAGAACAGCAACTCAGAGCAACTCAGTCTAACAGGAATAAGCTCTTCTCTCACCAGCGTCCTCCTCTGTGAAGTGCAAAGCGGGCACTCCTCCCATAGCATAAGCTGCAGTGAGGAGCGCAGGTGAGCTTCCAGCCCTACGGAAAGCAGGGCACCTGATTCAGGAAGACAAGGTGTCACAGCAGGGAATCCCCCATATAATACAGAAGAAACCAAAAGCTGCATATTAGCAGAAAGGTACTGGCTGATACAAACACATAAAACAGACTTCACCCTCGCTCTCAAAAATTCACTGCCCAAACCTGAGTTTAGGAGAATATTCCCTTTATGCATCATCTGTATGTGACAACTGTCCATTTTAGCTTGTGCTTCCTACCCAGACACTGCCCTCTCACGGTCAAAACACAACTGTCAGGTCTGCCAGGAGACCTCAGCGAACTTACAGCGTACAAGGATCTAAACCAAGGGAATGACAGAGCAAGGAGGGAGACAGAGTAACAAGAAGGCTGCTATCTTTCTCATGTGATAAAACCGTAAGGTCAGGAAAGTTCCCGTTGCTCCTTGACCATGAAACCGCTGCAGGTTTTATGAACAGAAGCAGCAGGCATACGAGAGTTAGGCACAGGCAGAAAGCAACCTATATTTATTTCCTCAAACACTGAGGATGCAGTTCAATGGGTTGCAGTTATTACAAGGCTTTTAACTCTTTGCTGGTTAGGCTTAATTCTTCTTTGCACCTACTATGCCCCAGGAGCAACACACCTTTAGTCTATGATGCACAGCTGATCTCAAGCTTCCTGAATAGATCTTTTGTGGGGAAGGAAAAAACCCCAAACCAAAACAAAAAACCCACTCAGACTCCCTTCACTGTGACTGTAAGTTACTCATTTTCTACATGGAAATGGACCCATGGCAGAAGACCAGCACCTGACTTCTTCTAACGTTTTTCTAATTCCACAGCTTAAGAGGGCAACTCACTTTCACTTAGGTAGCCTTAAAAAGTAATCCTTTCTTCCCTCCCTCTACTTTTGACTTCTGCCATCGTTCTCCGCCTTCAGATGGAACACGGAAAGGGTTTTCTTTGGAGCCCTAGCCTCTCTTTTCAAAGCCCAGGCAAACTGTCCCTGCAAATCTAAGACACTGTAGTAGGGAAATCATAGTCCAAATGTAATTCAGGCTTCCTACGGGGCTAGACAAAGGATCAAACTCCTTTGCTCTCTCTCCCTGGTTGCATCCTTCATACTGTCCTAAGACCTTCCAGTACTCACAGACAACCTTATGACTTTTTTTCCCTAATAGCAGGATACTGCATTCCAGCTATATGTCCTCTCCCACCGTGATGCACAAACAAAGGAGCGAGCCAGACAAACAGCAGTTCCTCAGAACTGACTGGAGAACTGCAGGCTGAAAAACCCCTCCCATTTTCTGTCCCCTCCACTCTGAGCTATAATATCTCATTAGCAATGCTTGATATTTACAGGTTGCCATATATTACAGCAATCATATTTCTCTTCCATGCTACATCTGCAGCCTGTTAAGACTGCAAATGCTGCGTTTGCACAGCTCTGAAAGACTCGACTGCGATTTTTCACGGCAGTATTACTGCATAACCAAAGTCACTTTCCTTTTCCACCTGCACATTCAGACAAACGTTTCAGTCTTCCTCTCTCTGACACCTATATGACTGCGCTAGGAGACTTCCAAGGTCATCCAGTCATCTGGCTCTCTCACTGCACCACGTCAGTATTGACCTTGTTCACGTGAGCCACATCCCAACGTTTGTATTAAATTAGCCCCAAAAGAGCCTCTCCTCAATCCTAGCTCACTATCTGGCTGCACGGACCACACAATACCTTGTACGACACTTAAAATGTAAAATGTTCCATATCTCCACACAAGGTTCACCTTATAAAAAGGTCTTGAAGGGGAAAAAAGAAAAAAAAAAAAGCTGGACAATGTATACCCACCAACGTAACACTATGTTATAAAATATAGATGAATGGTTGTCATGGTAACTGCTCTAGAGAGACAGAGTCCCTCACAAATGCTCAATGGCCAGAAGAAATCTTCACACACACACACCTGGTCTTCTCCCTTTCTTACCATTATTAACGAGCTTCATTCAAAGACCAGAGTCTATCCAATTCTGCAACGTTGTGCACCAGCAAATTGCAGCAGGAAGAGAAGCACATAGCTTCTATCACTGAAACCTATTCAGATTTTTTTAAGCATCCCGAGAAATCCCCTTGCTTTGGACAAATCTATAAGCTCTCATATTGCTCTGCGAGGCACAGTTTTGAATTACTGTTTTTCATTACTGATGTGCTTTCTAGCAGACCCTGCTGTGAGATAAAGTGGTATTAGAGTGGCATTACTGGCTGTGGAGTGATTGAGAGACATATGGGGCTGCAATATACTCCTTGAACTAACAGGCAGCAACATATCTAGAAGCCCTTTTGCTAGTGCCAGGAGGAGAAAGGGCAGAAAAACAAAGCACCATACACTCCCAGGCGATACATACGCAAACCTCCAGCTACCTGCCCCTGCCTGAATTCTACGTTTCAAACTAAAACCGGAAGCTCGAGACATGATATAGGGAGTACCGAGAACACTTCAGACCCTCCTGAGACGCACAGGGCACTAGCTCAGGCACAGAGCAGCGCTAACACGACCCTGCAGCTCCCAGGCCAGGGTGCCTCGTGCTCGCGCAGCGTGGACAGCGGGAGCTAGAGCCTCAGCCCATCTGCCTCCACCCACACCGACATGTCCTGCTATGGGGCACTTCCCGCTGACACCATTTTGGGACACTTCTGAAAGCCCCTGGCTGCAGTGAAAGGCAGACTGCAGCTGAGCCTGCCCTCTCTCAGAGATGTTGCCACACTGTTATTAGGCGGATTCATGTCTAGGTGCTGGTTTTGAATAGAGCTCAAGTCACATGTAACTGAAAGCCAGAAGTAGCTGCTAGGCTGAAACATGTTCTTACACGCACACCCAGGCTGCAAGATCCCTAGCCATGAAGCAGAGCTTTACAGGACTCAGTGCTGTTCAGGCACAGGACAAAACAACTGCATGAGAGAGAGAAAGTAAGGCAAGAGGAGGAAAAATTGACATGACTAGCTTAGTTAGCAGTGGTCTCAGCACATCTCTGACCAAACTTGAGCTTCTGCAGCCTTCTAGGCAAAGGCGCATGGGAAGGTTCACAGAGGTTCCCATGCATCCCAGAACATCCAGATGTTCTTCTGAATGTGAATGACAACACGGGGGAAAGCATCAAGATGATTTTACGAAAGCGTTTCGAAGTGGATGGCAGACACTGGCATTGCTGCCTAACCAGGGTTGTGAACTGACATTTAAGAGTGAGCAAGAGATGAACAATATGACAGGCACAGATCAGGAGGGGTCTGGAGAGCCCGTATGAGCATGAGCAGAGGCTGGGCCAATGGAGGGATGCATAGAGATGTGACCAAAACAGCAGGCAAGAAAAACGTCTTCTGAAAGGAAAAGAACAAGTCCTGCGTGAAAGTCAGTGTGTTGCAGGAATAAAGACACAAGATGAGAGTGAGGATGACAGCATTATCTGCAAAGGTAAATAAAAGAGGCTACATCTTAGATATGCCATGCTGAAAGGATTCACCTGACACAGAGGCAACCGGGACACAAGAACTTAGCAAGACGTACAAGATGACCCTAAGGTTACCGGCCTGAGCAGCAGACAGGCCCACAGGGAGAGCCAAAAGAGGTCCACAGGAGCAGCTGACAGACAACTAGAGAGAGGAAGAGGATCAGATAGGCAGAGGCCAGGAGGCCAAGGCTTCAGCCAGAGCAGGGCCAGCCGTGTCTGAAAGGACTGACAGGTCAAGGGAGACCAAGAGAAAGGACTGCAACAGTCACAAGCCCAGCTGGAAGGGGATAAAGGGGAAGAGGAACACCAGACTCAAAGCAGCATTCTCAGCTCTGGAGTAACCACATGAACAGCCACTGCCAGAACCCCATGCTGAAGTCACCAGCTCCCCAGAGCGCAGCCTCTCTCCCCATGACCTTGGTGCACCCTCCTCCCGCAAGCTCTGGAACTAGCAACCAACAGAGGGAGCCAGGCAACTGCTGACACCTGCCCAAAGTTTTAGAAAGTTCTTAAGACGTCATGGAAGTAGGCAGCTAAGTGCAGAAGAGACTCCAATCAGTAGAGCCGGGAAAGACAAGGCTGCAAAGGAAGCTCAGTTCTGCTCTCAGAGAGCAGACAACCCACATGCAAGCGACCACGAGAACTTCAGCAAGAACTCACATCTCATTAGATATCAGATAATTCACTCACGAGGCATGAAGACATAGGAAACTGAACTTCTTAAGTTTTGCTACACTGTATTTGCCCCTTTGAAAGGGGCAAACAGAATTGATAGGCGCAAGAGTAAGAATATCAGCCCACAAAACCACTGCTGCATGGACACAATTTGGCCTTCAGCTGTAGCAGAGGAACTCATCTCTCTTGCCTAGAAGTGTCTTCCCAACAGACCCAGAGGACACAGGAATTAAATACCATTCCCTCTTCTCAGCTTGGCCCTGTGCATTGAGATACCACTTCTGTCAAGCTAGAAGCACATTAAAATAAAACAGGGAATACACAACTCTCACTTCATTCTGGTCCTCATTTCCCTACGCCTTACTGTTTCCTACTGCTCCCAATACAAGATCTAAAGACAAGTAGGAGGGACTGTCAGCACAAAGTCTCCTAGGGAAGAAGAGAAGTGATTAGGTTTGCAAGATGGCATGTGCTACCAAGTCATTTCTCGCTGAGCTCCAGTAATGACACCCATCTTCATTCACTGTCAGTAACCAAAAGAAAAGTGAAATAGACGCTGCAAACACGTGAATTCCCACCTGGCTTTTCAGTTATGTAGAAATCATATAAAATGCACAAAGGTCCACTACATTATTTAGTGGCTTTCATATTACAAGCAAACAAAAAAAAAAACACACACACACAAAAAAACCCCTCTTGGAATCTCAGAATATCTTCCTACCTAGGAAAATCTCTATAGGGAACAAATATTTTACTAACAATTTACTAAGCAAGCCACTCCATGTTCCAGAATATTTCATAATAGCATTCAATACATTCACCGTATATCCACCAAGTTAAGTAAAAGGCCTGTTAAAAATACCTTGTTATGAAAGGTAATGAGGCCTTGAAGGTAAACACCAAAAAGCTACCTCAATAAATGAGAGCAGACCCTTCCTGAAGAGCTTCCACGCCATTTAAATTCTTTCACGGATCCTTACCTTTGAGCATTTCTCCAACACTTCCTCCTTGAACTGCAGGAATTTCTCCTGAATTACAGGCTGGTTGAGAGCAAAGGACAGGAAGTGTGTGAAGGGCTGCTTCTTCCGGAAGCTCTCGAGAAGAACATCAATACGTGTCCGGGCCGAGATGACACCGCTGCGCTGCTGTCCTGTAATCACTACGAGGAAGCAAAGCAACACCTGTCTGGCTTTCCTGAAGCTACAGAGAAATTAGTGACACCGTACTTCCATGTCCATGCAAAATAAAAAGTAATTAAATGGATTGTGATTTTGCATGATACTTATCCATGCGCTTTAAAATACCAATTGTAGGATACTGTGAAGGTAAGACTATATGTTCCCCTGGGCAGATATTTATGGTGGCCCGGCCCCCATGGTTGAGCTGAATCACAATTGTCCTTTAAATGACTACAGAAGAGAAAGAGATGGAGATGCCAGGAGGGAATTAAAATAACCTGCAGAACAGCACCTCTCTACTTTTAGCCCAGGGCTCACTAAAGAGGAGACAGGAACTGAAACCCCCGACCACGCACAGAGCAATCTTGCCAGACTCCCTGCTTGACTTAAAATACCTGACACGGCTGGGCTTTGCTGTGCAAAGACAGGATGATGCCATCAAAAGGTATCCCTCCGTTCTCAAGAAAGTCAGCTCTGCATGTCTAAAAAACAGTAAGCTAAGAGTCTATCACTTCAGTGGCTCTTCAGATTTCTAGAGCATTATTTTAAGGTTTCATAAAGGCAGTCTCTTAGTCAAAGTGAAAAAGAAATCTATCAAAGATCAAGATGGCCTATATCGTTTGTGCTTGCACTTCAAGGCCCCAAACAGAGAACAGTCGAGTTTGAAAGGGAAGAACTGCAAGGAGCAAGATGTTTTTTGCTTCCCATTATCATACATCTTCAGCATCTCTCAACCTTCCTGATAGTCCTTCATGGGTCTCAGGGAGAAGTCAAGACCCACTTATTGAGAAGCACGAGCACATTCCTGTGCAGTAAGACAGTCAGATTCCCCCAGTCACTTATTCCCCACAGCTCTGTCATGAACATAACTCTGCACTGTAACAACTATCACCATAATGTGTGTAAGGGACCCTCCGGATATCCACTCAGGCAGAAATCCACACAGGCCAGCCCTTATGAGCAATGCCTTCTTTCTTTTTAAGTCACTAGAAGTGACTAGATGGAACATACGGTACACGAAGGCTTGCTCTCACTATAACGATCCAGCAACAACACCAGGAAAGCAGAAAAGTCACCAAAATACCTTTCACATTAAAGAAAATGAAATTTATTTCATGTATAAATACACAACTTGGTAATTTCTTTCTGGATGTATATTGCAGCTCTACATTAACAGCAATATTATATATGGTAATAATGGAAGTAAAAAAGGGGGGAGGGGGGAACCAACACATTCAGGCCCCAAATTCTCAAGATAGTCATTTAAGGCCCAGAAGACACTTCAGCAAGACTATTCATTGCTTAAAATAGCATAATTTTAATCCGAAGTCTCTGACTGCTTTATGAGAGTCTATAGACAGGGAAAATAAATTCAGGAGAAAACTGAAGTGATTTTCCCAGGGCCATAAAGTGAGTCAGTGACACACCAGAGGAAGGAATTGGAAGATGATCTCCTGTCCCCCTCTGCCCGCATAAACTGTGGCTGCAGGAGAGCCAATGAGAGAACAATCATTTTGTGTATGTTAAAGCTCACCCATTTCTCCCTCCACTCCAGGCTTGGGAATGCTGATCGAGGTTCGAGTCTCTGTTTCTAGTCTCTTCTTGGTCTCTCCCTTCTTCCCAATTATGTACCTAGGGGCATAAAGGTACAAGAGTCACTCACACAACTTCACTGCTCCTCTCGCAATCAAGTGTGTGCAGCCAGAAGATTAACCATGCCCTGAGCTGGCCCCCGGAAGCCAAGCTGGGTCCCCCAGAACTCGGTATCTCAGTGCTACAGGGATGCACGGAGTCAGCTCCAGGCGCAGGACCCAGTCCTGGCGCAGGGGCTACTCCTGGGACTCTGCGTAGAACCGGCACAGGACCACACGACGATGTTGAGCAGTGGCTAACAACTCACTTAAGCTAAAATGAGTCGGGCCTTGACAGCTCTTCCCAGCACTTCCTGCCGCAGCACTCACATTATTTGGGTTTTTCCATTTGACCATTACCCCAGACGAAGAACTAACTGCACTTTTTCTGGCTTGTGCTTTGTTCAAGGTAGTCATTTGCCATCCAAACACACAACAGAATACCTTTCTTTTTTTCCACATTTCACTAACACTGTTGTACCAACAAAAGTGTCAAAAATAACTAGATAAAGCTTTGAACTCCAGGACAGCCTTCCCAGTGAACACCAGATTTAAGTCAATAGTCAATTCCAGTAGTGTGTGCTTTTTCTCAAAGCTTTCACAAGCTCTCCCTGCCAGGCCGTTCACCCCAGTTCTTCCTCCCCCGCTTCTTCCACCCTCCCTGATGCTTTTATGTTCAAGGGAAGAGATGCTCAAAAACTCTCCTACCAGCAAGAAAGCACCACCTGCTGTCTCTGTCATAGCACAGGCTAAGAGTCAAACGTGGCACAACTGCACTAGAAAGGCATTGTCTTTTTTCTCCTCCCGAACACAGGACATTCCTAAATGGAATGCGTTTCAGAGATCTGGCACCTGCCCCGATCTCAAAAAACACTCTGCACACAACTTCCTCAGCCAGAGGCAACTCAGATAAGCCAGAAACACACAGGCTCACTTGTAAAGTGGACTGGGAACCTCCACTCTGCACTGGAAGCCTTTCTCGGTCTCTTCCACCACAAAGGTGTCACATGGCTCATCTGCGCAGTCACCAGGGCCTAGGGGGAGGGGGGGAAAAAAAAACAACAGACCTTTTACAACCTTTATAAAGTTTGGCAGTGCTTTATGCAAGACAATAGTCTCACAGTCATCTTCTCCCACGGTTAAATAGAGGAACAAATAGACTCTCCTCAGTGGCAGCTAACTGCTTTTTATTTCACCTTACTACCAGCTCTGAAAAACATAATGACTGCTTCTAAATTCGCCAGGCTTGGAGGCGTAGGAAAGCAGTAGTTACAGCCCAGGTTTTCTCTTGGCTCCAATTTGTACAACTCCCTGGTTGGAATGCCCTCTTCCAAGTCATGCACCGCTCTCCTGGCAGGGTGGAAGCCACCAGCCCATTCAGAGAACGCAGCAGGACTTTGAAGTCACAAAGGAATAAAAATAAAAGGTGTAGACAGAGAGTTTTGGTTCAAGGGTTCAAGTACAGCGCAGGTAATATTTAGGAAAACAGGGGAATTCTCACAATCTCAGCAAGGGCCAATTAAAGACAAACCTTTCCGCGGTGGGCCATTCAGTCTCGCCTGCTAAGACCAAACACGATTTCCTCAGAAAGAGGATGGGGTTTCTATCTCCTTCATAACATAGACAGAGACAGATTTTGGTGGCAAGCAACTTATTAGAGCTTTGTTCAGTCCACTGAAGAGCAGGGTGGAAAGGGAGAAACAGGACACAGCAGCCCTTTCTATTTGAAAAAAAAAAAAAAAACAGCTGAACTTTCTGTGCCCACAAGAACTCATGCAGAGCTATGACAAATATAACATGCAGGTAGAAAGATGAAGTCAGTCAAATCAGAACAGAAACAGATCTCCTACAAAAACAGGCAACACCTCCTAAAAGCCGCATTGTAAGAAGTCAGTTCTTTAAGGGGCAAACAGTGCAAGGACAGAGGATCTCTAGCGAGCAGCCTTCAGTCCCTCCGTATCTGCAATTCACAGAATAGCTGAAGTTGGAAGGGGCCTCTGGAGTCCAGAGGGGAGGCCATCTAGTCCACCCCCTCCCGGACTCAAGCAGGGTCACCTAGAGCAGGCTGCCCAGACAGAAGTTCCCGTGTTTCAGTTTGTGCAGACTGCCTCTCATCCTCATTGCTCCCGCAGTAATCCCACTACTGAAAAGAATTACAGTTCAGGGACCCAGGGAAAACAGATCTACAGATATAAAGTTTTCGTCTCCGGTGTTGATCCTCCATTTGCCGCATGTCCTGTTACCACTGTGGTCACCCCCACGCACCATTCTTTACCTGCATAGAAGTCCTCTTCCTCTTCATTCTGGTAGGCCTGTTCTTGGACAAGATTCTTCCTGTAAATTCTCCCCCCAATCCTTATCAGGGTGGGACGCAGAACATCCATGGTGCTCCTCTTCCTCAAGGTGGCATGCTACGAAAAAGAAAGACAGCTCTGCCAGCCTACGCCAAGGAAAGGTTAAATCTGAGGTTTCTCCATCGATAATAAGAGGTACCAGGGAAGCACGAGGGGGTTACGCAGTAAAGACTGAGCTACTTCCAGAGGAGCAGTAAGTCTTTCTGTGTGTACGTACGAGTGATTTCAGAAACGCAGTACTCTGTCAGAACTTACGTGACTCGTTCAGAAGATTACTTTTCTAAGAACTGACAAGTGCACTCTTTGTCAACTCAGAAAACACAATTAATTAAAAATGAGAGATTTAAGCAATATAAGAAGTGTAACAAAGCATCAGATTTTTCCCTCCACAATGAGGTCAGCAACTGATCGCCGTTCTCTCTGAAACTCGCAAGTTTTAATTAAAACTCACTGCAACCTCAGTCAGATGTGTCATTTTACTACCATTCTGAGATCTGGACAGTTTCTCCTCCTCATTATTTTTCATAGGTGAAGTTTCAGCTGCAGAGGAAAGACACTATAGGAGTCTCCCTTCAAGGAATCCCCCAGAACAGTGACCTCTTTCACAGGATCTGTCATCTTCCACCAGTTTCTCTAAAAACGTAGCCCCAGCCACTCTCCTCAGCTTGTCTCCTTTTAGAGAGGCACCCACCCACACCTGCCTTTTTATTAGAGATGCTGAGTACTCCCACCTTCTCACACCCCAGGAGACCATCCCTCTTCCCTGGCGGAAACTGCGCCTCGAGCCCATTTGAAAAGGGTCACTTTGAAAGAGGACAATTCTGTCTGGCGTGCAACCTCCGTAAGAAACAGTTTAATACGAAAACCGACCACCGAACCGAAGCAGCTTTGCAAAAGCCAACCAAGTTCTCCAGCTGGGAAAGGGAAACAAAGCGCTCCGACAGAGCAGCTCTGGCTGCTGCAGGTGGTTAGCTCCTGCCCGCCGGCAGCACAGAGCGGGTTCCCACCCCGCAGCCCCCGCGATTCGCAGCGCCGGGGAGCGGCACGCGCCGGTGCCTGCCCTCGGCTGCCCCGCTGCAGCGGGGTGAGTCCGGGAGCGGAGCCGGCAAGACCGCTGGGGCCGGTTATTCCTTCAACCGCCCCATCTCCGTCTGCCAAAATCCTAAGCACGTGGGGGGCAAGGGGGCACACGTGCACCTGCCGGATGAGGTGAAACGGGGAGAGGTGGGAACAGTGGAGAAAGGGAGAAACGCCGGGGCGCAGCTTTGCTGTTTTGCACTGCTCAGGGAAATGGAAACAGCTTGTCGAGTTGGTGTGACTGCCCATGCGATCTGTTCTCTAACGGGCTAGAGAAGGATAAGCCATCACTGCGTTCCCAGGAGGCTCTCCTCTCGAGATATTACAGCATTAAAACTGATTTAGGACCCGATACAGCGCTTCTGCAACGCCTTAACATGTTGCATCATGTGGTCCTTGAACTCTTGAACGCTTACGCAGCGCTTTTTTTTTTTTCCACTGAAACAACCAAAGAGAAAGTTCACCGTGAAAAAAACGCGTCACGCTTGAGACACGGCCCGCGCTACCCTTCTGGCTGTTACTCCAAACTAAGCTTCAGGAAGGCGGGACACCGCGCTCCACCCGCAGACAACGTTTTCTGCCGCAAGAGCAACGGGGGCGATCCCAGGAACGGTCGCCGCCGTCCGCCACAGGCGCC